ACCTTCAGAACACAGCCAAAGAGCCCGAAAAACCCACAAGCATTAGATCCCGGCCGTGAAAGCCTTCGCGAATACAAAAAATATTTTAACTTTTAACCAAGAGTTTATGCTCAGCATATTACTATAAAAATGCAATCTTATGCCTCCATCATTCACAAGGCATCAACACATCAATATCCAAAACTGTGAAGTAGTGAGAGACATTAGCTCCAGAGCACAGAGTCCTTGTTTTGTGCATGCTACTTAAAAGTAGATCTTTCTTCAGTAGAGCTCCAACACAGAGAATACAAATAACTACTGTGAATTATTTCCCCTTGTTCTCCAACATCCAAGAGGTAAGCCCACCTGTGGCTCAGTAAAACTACTCTTCAAGAGAAGACTCTTCAACCATGGTGTTTCCTAGGCCACGGAGGCTCGCAAATAGGACACACTACCGCTTGCTGTGATCTAGCATCTCTACTCAAGCCATCACAACTTGTATTATGGTCCTTCAAGGGCACACTCAGGGAAATGTAAATGATTTCTCCCTCATCATTCAATCAGCCCTATTAATATGCAACATTGTTAAAGACTCATTGATAGGTGCTCAAGTTCAAAATTACTCTAAAATAAATGTGCATAGGATTAAACTGTAGCTTTTGTAACTCCTGAAAAAGCTAAACTGCAGTAGCAGTTGAGGTTTTTTCCCTGTCATTTTTGTATACATCAGACTGATATTTCCTCAGATGGCTCAACCATACAACAGCCTTGGTCAAATGTTACTTGACCATTTCCAGGGGAGCTCAACCTCATCTAAGAGAGAGCTGGAGCTTTTTGTCACCCTCCCCCCCAACTCCCAATTCAAAGTTTTTCTCCTAACCAGTCAACAGAAGACAGAGCAGCACCATAACTATGGAAGACTAAGGATTACCAACGTGCAGCATTAATTGAGTTTCTTGGTACTTATGTAGTGCACACAGAGCACATGCTAACAATGTTCCAGTATGATATGCTAACAGCCATGCTTAAGCTAGGTTTATACTTAAATAACTTCACAGTACAAAGCTCTTGGGGGTGTGGTGGAGATGCCTTGAGCTGACGAAAATTCCACAGATTATTCATAAAACTTACACTTTTTCCAGGACAATTCCTTTAGCATGTGAAGCGCCCCCAAAAGGGTTGGCTTTTAGAGCAGTACCCAAATGAGCCTTCTTGTACTGCTTGTCGTGCCATTTCTGATCCCGGCGATGACTGCGTAGCTTCCTGGCTGTACGAAGCCCACGACACTTGCCTAGAAAACAATTCATTACAGATTGGAAATAATACAAAGAATGCCCTCGGCCACAATGTTCATAGAACTACTGCTTTCCTTATTTAAAACCCCATCTGTGCTGTGCTGCCATGGGATTCACAATATCCATAGAATCTTAACCACAGTGAAAGTTCGTTTGGAAATTTTGAACACAGAATCTGTTCTGTCTTACACAATCCTATTTATCTCACAGGGAACAGCAAGTAAAATTGTAATGTGCTATGTTTTCATGTTATGGATGCTATATTCTTATGCGTTTTATCATTATGTGTAATTTCCTTGTATAGAGGTACAATGACAATAAATAAATACTATTCTATTCTAAAATTCAGAAATGGGTGTAACTACGAAAACATGAGCGATCGTTAAGTACCACCTCCCGCAAATACTGTACAATAACCTGATAGATAGACGTTTATAATATTTGCAGTATGTGAGAGAGTACTTCATGATCACTCCTGATTTTGCTAGACAGAGGTGTGTGTGTATATAAAATTTAAAGTACTGCCTCTGGTACTGGAGGCAACCCATCGCCATCCTGGCTACCAGCCACTGATGGCTCCAACCTCTGTGAAGTTCTCTACTTCTCTCTGACAGCCTTCCACGCCAGCAACCCTCATATCTTGTAGCGCTGAATTCTGCAGTTCAACCATGCAACGTGTGAAGAGGGATTTCCTTCGATCAATCCTGAACCGCCACCATTTTGCTTCCGTCCATGAAACCGAGTGCCCGGACCTGCGGGGCCTGCCTCCAACAAGTCTGTTTAGTCCTGGGCACAGAGCGAGGCCACGATCGCCCTGAGGAAGCCGAGGGGCCATTTCCGTGCATCCCAGGCCAAGCCCTTCCCTTCGCCCCTCTTTAGCTGGAAAGGATCGCCTGCCCATGGCTGCAGAGCCACTCACCCATCGTGCCGCCCGGATCCACAGGAGGAAAGAGAAGGACCCACAATTCTCCGCGACGCGAAGGCTCCGCTTCGAGGACCCAAAGGGCTGTCCTAGCCACCGCCTGCTCAGGACTAAACAGAACGATGCCGGGGAGAGGGAAGCGTGGCCAGGGTTGCGAAAGTGCATTGTGGGAAATGTAGTCCTCATAGAAAGGAGCTCGCTGCTGATTCCGTAAGACGGGTTTTATGACCTCTTCCCGGTCTGATCATGTTTCCCCCCTGTATTAACGGTCCACTTTAATAAACGAGGCAAATATGTGTGTGTATCCGTATAGACGGCATTTTCACTCTGGAGACCCCCCCCCCCACGATTCCGCGTTCTCGGTCCACCAGGGCCGGTTGTGCGGCTTTCACTTTAAAACCAGGTGCTCCGCTTCTGCGGAACCTTGTTTTCTCTCTCGCCCTTTGCGACGTGTCTGATTTTTCCTGAAGCTGGCCGCTTTGATTCTGCTCACTATGACCGCTTGGCTTCCTTGTTGGGCATTCGCTCTACCTCACCGCTGCCTCCACAAATGCCGGCGGGCCCGGCACTGAGTTAGACACCCGACTCGGGGGTCCTTGCTGAGGCGCTGTTCAAGGCCCGCGTGGGGGAGGGGCGTCCTTTCTCTCGGAGCGGCGCGATGGGTGAGTGAGGGAAGGAGGGAGCGGGTCGGTCGAGAGGGCTCCCTTTCTCCGATAGAAACGGCTCCGTTTCTTCTCCCGGTGGCTGAGTCCGGTGGGGGGGAGTTTTAGCCTCAGCCTCGGCCAGGTTCCGGCTTGAACTCCGGTGATGGGGTGGGCTGCTTCACGTGTCTTTTTTGCGAGAGGACGTGCTTGCTGGCGAATTCGTTCCTTAGTTTTGCCCGACATTGCTCTTTACACAATTACTTCTCCCCGTACTCATGAGTTGGGGGAAGCTAAGATTAATCTGCAAAAAATAAAAATAAACTACGCTAAATTTTTAAAGGGAAATTGGGGCTTCTGGATACAGTATATTCTGAGAGGTCTTCTAGGCACAGGAAATACGTCTTTTTCTTTTTCTTTCTGCTGTAATTCCTACTACCGTAGATCTGCGCTCTTCTAAAATTCGTATTCTAGGGGCGAAATGCAAAAGAAAGCGCTGAGCAGCTTCAGCAAGGTATAAATAAGAGCAAACACTTCACCCACTTCCCGCTCCCCTAAACAAGAATAAAGTCAAAAACAACCTTTAAAATGACTGACCCACGTCAATTGTTGGTTGAATAAGAACTTTCAAATAAATGGTAGAAAATAGTATTTTCATTTCATGCCTCAAGGCTTTCCTGTCTTCTGTTTTTAGGCAAGTGTCGTGGGCTTCGTACAGCCAGGAAGTTGCGCAGTCACCGTCGTGATCAGAAATGGCATGACAAACAGTACAAGAAGGCCCACCTTGGCACTGCTTTGAAAGCCAACCCTTTTGGGGGAGCTTCCCATGCTAAAGGAATTGTTCTGGAAAAAGTGTAAGACTGTGGTTTCTCTTTAAAGAGAGGGGTAGGATTAATATTACAGTATTTTTGTTTTGTTTTAACACCAGAAGTAATCTTGAAGCATCATTGTAAGATCCAGTACATAGTTACGATATATCTGCTGTCTCAGAAGAGAGTTGTGTACACATTTCATTGCTATCAGTAGGCTTAAGCATATCTGATCTCTGTAAGACTTGTAGCCTTAAGAGTATAATGTCAACTAGTCTTCTCCACCCCTTAATAGAGGAAGTTAGAATGAGGTTCTTAGTGAAGAGAAAGGAGAGGGTCTCCCACAGCTGAGGCCCCATAGTGCCTGGAAGTGCCGTGGTTCCTCTGCCATCGGTAGCAACTGGAAAACCTCAAAAAGTGCCAAAGGGTCAGTTTGCCAAGACATGCCCAGTTGGGGCTTGTCAGCTATGATAGCTATGGTGCTGGCATTTTTAACTCCCACCCTCTTGATCTCAGTGAGGAAAGAGATTTGAAAGTGCAGCAATCCATCATACTAAAACAGTCTGGGAAAACTGTCTCCTAGTTGGTACAACCAGCAACACAAGAAATGTAGAGCCTTTCTCATGGTTTCCTGTTGGCACTGTCTAGGATTGTTTTCTTGTGTCAAGAAGGAACTTTGAGTTAGTATTAGGAATGAATTACTTTGTACATTTGTTGGAAACTAAAACTTAAGAGATACTTTATTGCCTTTTATTTTCTAGTGGCGTAGAAGCTAAGCAACCAAATTCTGCGATCAGGAAATGTGTCCGAGTCCAGCTCATCAAGAATGGGAAAAAGATAACAGCTTTTGTTCCTAATGATGGTTGTTTGAATTTCATTGAGGTAAATGCATGTGAGAGATAATTAAACATGGATTGCATAGTATAACATGTATTTGAAGAAGTAATAGAATAATTTGAACCAAATTGACACACACACACCCTAATTTTGGTAATTTTGTAAGCTTTTCAAATCTATATTTCTTGAGACCAAACTATTTTCCTTTTTTTAAATTTTAGGAGAATGATGAAGTTCTGGTTGCTGGTTTTGGTCGCAAAGGTCATGCTGTTGGTGACATTCCAGGAGTTCGCTTCAAAGTTGTTAAAGTTGCCAACGTTTCTCTATTAGCATTGTACAAAGGCAAAAAAGAGAGACCCAGATCATAATTCCTCTGTTGCTATGTTTGTTGTAATAAACAGTTTCATTTTGCAAGGAGTTTGTGAAGTATTGTTCATAATTTGAACACTGTTCCTGGAAAGAAAGTAATACCTTGGGTAAAATGTGGTGTGCAATTTTGCTGTCTTTCCCTGGATCCAAATCTTTTGAGCCCAAGTTTTTTTTTTAGCCAATCTGAGTTTTTTGACATTTACTTCTGGTATGACTATCTACAGCTGGATAGCTTTCAGCTTCATTCTGAATAACAAAATTAAAGTGAAATATTGAAAAAATAATTAGCTTCTACACTCTTGATGAAACAAGCCAGACAGACGTCTGAATAAACAGCTGAAGAATCCCTGAGATACTACCATTCAGTCTGCATTTAGAAACCTCCAGTCAAAAAGAGTCCACCAACTTCTGAGATTGTCCATTCCACTTTTGAGCAGCTCTTAAGTATCAGAAAGATCTTTTTAATATTTATTTCTTGTAACTTGTGTGTTAGTTTGGTTTCTGCATTCTAGAACTAGAAAAAACAATCTTGCTCCATCTTCCAAATATTTGAAGATGGCTACCATACTCCCATTCCCAGCCCCAAATCTTAGGGTAAACATACAGAGTTCTCCCATACCAGCTGTTCCCCATAATGTTTTGTTTCCAGTCTCTTTACTAAAATGTGAGAGGATGTTGTGTTGTAGCTGAGGACATTGTTACTCTGCCTTTTCATCCAAGTTTAGCTATCCTAAAATAACTCTCCCAGATGGAAAGAAAGAGGCATTAAAGCCAGGTACTCATGGAATTTATAGTGGACAACATACCTCTGTTGTTTCCTTTGGTGTCCTTCAATATTGTTTATTAGGGCCATGTCTACATTTTTGGACAAATAATAGTAGCTTTAATGTGTGTATCCTTTCTTCAAAACATTTTCAATCTGATGCAAAGATTTTCAGTATTTTGGAACCATTCATGCAGGTTACAATGTGGGTGATTTGGAATACTGTGAATAAAATACTTTATTTTAATGGGAAAAGAATATATGGTGAAATGCTGTGAAAAATCCCTGTCACAGTTCAGGAGAGTTTGCCAGTGTAGTTTAAATGTGCACACAGACCACTTGGGCCTACAGAGGTGAGAATTTGGCCATTGGCAGCACCACACTTAGCACTTTCTCCAGTGTCTCCTGTAGTACACAGAGGAGCAAACTCCCAACTGTTCATTGTGTTGATTTGAAGCAAAGTATGTTTCTCCTGCACAGTTTATTTTCTTGTTCCTCTCATATTGAAGGTTGGACATCATCATGGGTATTTTGACTTTGCACCAGACAGCTGCAGACAATGTGATACAAACTAGTCTCACAAGGTTCTTCAGCCAGTAAGCTATTCTTCCTGCACTTCTCCCTGTTATTTTACCTTAAATGGACAGATGTAACAAATCTATTTTTAGTACATCATTGGCCACTGTCTTGATTTAGAGAAATGTTTAGCTTCCCATAATGAATCCACATTACAAAAGCTTCTATTGTCTTTATAATATCCTATGGTGAAGTCTGTAGTTTCATGCCATAAAGTGGAGCCAAGAGTACAACCAAGAATACATACAGTGCATTTTCAAAGGAATTTAAGCTCCCTTACCATTCCATTCTTCATCTTAAGAAAGCTGTTCCAGGCCATCTCTATTTTGACTTTTATTACATGGCTTTGGTCCCACTGTTCATTCACCCTGTGGTGACTGCTTTCCCAGTTCAGGGTATGAATAGTTTGGAGAGAGCCTTTTTTCTCCAGTTAGGTTTTCTGTGTGTAGGTGGATGGGAAATGATTGGCCAGAGGCTAACATTCTGAATGGTAAAGGAGAAAATTTGCCACACAGACAAAAGGGGTTTCCCTAGTTTTTTCATCTGCTGTACTTATATTGCAGCCATTTCGTGTGACTGTTTTGTGGTGTACTTTCCCAAAGGACACCAGGCATTGCGTAGGCAGGGCTGTGAGAAATACCAGTAATATGAAAGGCAGATGCACCTAATTCATCTTCAGTAATTTTCATGTCAAAATGATTACATTTTGTAAAGTGTTGCGCATGAAAGTCTCTGCAGCTGTGTCTGGTTGTCTGTGTTTGGTATTCTTCCTACTAGACATACACTCACATATATCACATATACATATATATGTAAATATCTCCTTTTCTCTCTCTGTGTGTGGCATGCATATGAATTACCCTTACTAAAAGTGCCCTACACCATGAATGTAAATGTATGTAATCCTTGAGGTATTAGGCAGCACAGCTGGTGTCTCCAGGTCGTCGTCAACATTTATGTAATCATCCCCGTTAACATGAGGTTAGTTGATCTGTTCAACTTTCCCAGCGTTCCTGCCTAATGTATAAAACAATGCAGTAGACCACTTGTGGCCTGGCCAACTGTTGCTGTACCAGTTGTCTGACACCTCATAAATCTGGCACCACCCTGTGCCTAAGGAACATTCTGGGTGGCAGTTGGTAATGGGGTTCCAGTTCTGCCACAAATCAATATAAACCAGTGTTGTCCACCAGAGAGAATGGTGGTCATCCAGGGTTATTATCTCCCCAAGGCAATGAGTAATCCTGGCTTTTTATGTTTGCAGAAGGCCTTCTCCTACGTCCTTCCAAGTTCTTCCAGGGTCCTCTGGAATTTTTTTCTTGACATGTGGGTCTGGCATTTGCTGCCTCCCACCTCTTGCTATTTACCCATCTATCTCCCTGCTTTTCTGGACTTGTGCTCAACCTCTGCCCTTTGATGTGTCTTATTCTTCACTATAAGGAAGCAATTTACCCCTGCAGTATCCACTTCATTTGCCAGCAACACTGCCCTGTGCTGAGTCTTCAAGTGGCTGAGCATGCTACTATTGGAAAAGAGGCCCAAGTCCTGCCCACACTTGACCACCTTTGTGGAGTAAATGCACTCAGCCATGTAAGGATCTGTTGCACAGTGTTGAAAACGCTTCCAGATTATTGACTTGGGAGCTCCAGGTTTTGACTGCATGTTCCTAACAGTGATTGCTAAAATGTCATCACTACTAGTTCCAGCAATTGTGAGGCAAGTGGAGCTGGAGGGACAGGGGATATTCCAGTGTCACAAGCTTCTGAAAGTGTCCACCTGAGTTCCCTTATTATCCTTTTAAACCTAATATAATACTTCCCTGTTGGTGTAAAACATTAATCTATTAATTTACTAATCCTAAATCTTATTCCTAATCATATTAAGTAAATATTATACAATGAGATGTAGAAAATGTAAAAGTAAATTGAGGTTTTAGAAAAGCAAACAGAGAAAACTGCTGCAGTGCAGGCTTGCACAAGAGCATAGCCAAACAGCAAACAGGGGATTTATAAGCAGCTATGCCCACCTTCCAACTGGAAAGAATCAATGTGGAAAAAAATACCTTCCAGGTTTTGTGTCTGTTTCTAGATTCCACTGGTGCAGACATACCGTATTTTTTGCACCATAAGACGCACTTTCCCCCCTCCAAAATGTGGGTGGGGAAGTCAGTGCGTCTAATGGTGTGAATGCAGCAATTTCGTCGCTGCTGGCCCCGTGGGGGGGAGCGTCGCAAGGGTCCGGGTGAGCCTTCCAGGACCCTTGCGAGGCTCCCCCACCCCCCCACGGGGCCAGCACCGGCGAAATCGCCAGCTTCCAGGTGGGGGGAACGTCGCAAGGGTCCTGGAAGCTCACTCAGATCCTTGCGACGCTCCTCCCACCCACGCACGGGCCAGCACTGGCAAAATCGCCAGGTTCTGGGAGTGTTTTGAGGCTCCCCAAGCCTCCAAACACTCCCGGAAGCTGGCAATTTTACCCCCCCTGGCCCCATGGGGGGGTGGGGGAGCATGGCAAGGGTCCAAGGGAGCCTCCCATGACCCTTGCCACCCTCCCCCCAACCCCCCACGGGGCCAGCCCTGGCGAAATCGCCAGGTTCTGGGAGTGTTTGGAAGCTTGATAAGCCTCCAAACACTTTCAGAA